GATTACATCAGACGAAGCTACGCAACATGTGATTACATCAGACGAAGCTACGCAACATGTGATTACATCAGAAGAGGCTACGCAACGCGTGATTATGTCAGACGAGGCTACGCAACGCGTGATTACGTCAGACGAGGCTGCACAACACGTGATTACATCAGACGAGGCTACGCAACATGTGATTACATCAGAAGAGGCTACGCAACGCGTGATTATGTCAGACGAGGCTACGCAACGCGTAATTATGTCAGACGAGGCTACGCAAGACGTGATTATGTCAGACGAGGCTACGCAACACGTGATTACATCAGACGAGGCTATGCAACGCGTAATTACGTCAGACGAGGCTACGCAACACGTGATTATGTCAGACGTCAGCGACAAGCTTTGCGGTAGTAAACAGGAAGTGAAACTTGCTAACTAGCAGAGGCYAATCATCTCGGGACAATGGAGCGATTTTTTCATGAATGCCTTGCTATTGGGCAAGTTGTAATTATTCTATCTATTCAGCTAGTTCAGGCTATGTTTAATGCTGCCAGGAGACGTAGGGAAAGAAACGCAATGATAAACTACACTGTTGTTGTTGTGCGCAGCCATGTTTTTGTGCGTTTATGATAACATCCAAGATGAGGCAGGAAAGCAGAAACAGCTGAACGTCACGTGAGGTAAACATGCGCCACATCAGAATTTATTCGGCAAATGTGTTTCCATCTATCGTTTTGCGCATTAACTACTTTGTGAATCATCTAAAAAAACACCTTAAGCGAGCGTAAAAACTTTTTAGCGAATTGAGAATGGTTTTTTTTTAATTTTGCTGTTTCCATCTGACTTTTTTTCGCATTTTTAATGCGACACTTCTGAATGCGCATCAAAAAGCCTTGATGGAAACACGGTTAGTCACTTTAAAAAGGAGGAGAACCAATATGTTTTGTGTCCCTCTGCAGGATAAACAAGAATTGTTGACATTTTAAAGCCTGATGTAAAAGGTACCGCCCTCAGGGACTTGACCAGGGTGTTTGGGTTTTGTGAAGCACACATATAAGTCTTTGGGGAGTCTTTAGCGTAAGCAGATGCAGAGTTGTATAGAGGGCCTTTGTTCTGGTTCTGATAAGACTACAGGCCCTGCGAAACAGTGGCTCTGACCAATGACACAGATTTTCTAGAAATGAAGAGTAAAGATCTGTAACAGAGAGTTCACATGGTTTTCTGCACAATTATTCTGGCTTCAAATTTTTTATAATGTTTTTGTACAAAGCCAATGAAGTTGTTGAAGGACAGGGTTTTTTTGGTGAGCAGAGAATGTTCTGGTGGCAACACAAGCAGCTGAAACTGACCTCCTTGAAGAATATGGAAGGACTAGAGGAGGAACAAAGAGTCACAATAATCAGTGTGAGGTGGCAAACGACTAGGAGAGAAGGATGAACAATTACTCTAATGAAAGTAAGCTGACTGAATTGATGTGTTTATAACAGAATACTATCAAGTTTTGAATTCTAACCTGGGGGGGGTGGGGGGGTTGGAATGGAGTTATCAATATTGAGAAATTACCTGACAGCTGAAAAGAGTTGATATTGCACAAAAAAGTTACCTCTCTGAGAAAACCTGAGGTGAACCAAGATTTTATTTTGAATAAATAATCAAAGAGGGAGGTTAAGGTAGAGTTATGTACCATCTGTATAGCAGTGGAAACTGATACTGAATTTATGTCAAACATTACCAAGGAGAAGCAAATATATTGTGAACAGAGGTGAGCCAAGGACAGAACCCTGAGGCACACCGGAACAGATTTATGTTTAGATAATTGGCTGTGGATTTCTTGCATACAACCAGAGATAAGGTCTAGTGTTTCAGTTCAGTTTATTCCAGCAGCAGCTCACAACAAATTAATCACAGCACACTGTACAAAAACATTCATGTTCATAATAAAATGCCACTTAGTCAAAGTTATGTATCAATTAAACCAGCTGATTGCATTACGTTTCCACTTTGTCACAATCTCTCTTACCGAGTAGCATGAAGGCTGTAGTGGAGAGGCATTGTTTCATTTTAACAGGAAGAGACCTTCTGAATCAGTCAAGTGGGGTTAGAGAAGACAACAAGGTGATAAAGACACAATGCAGTGGTTCAGTTGAGTTTCTATGGGAGGAAAGAAGAACACTGCCAAGTTAAAGACAGCAATGAATGCAAACATGTAGAGAAGAGACTAAAGACAGCAGCTGGGTGAGGACATGTGGGCACTTTGTGCTCCAGCAGTCTAAGTCTATAGCAGCAGAAATGAAGAATAATTCAGGAAACCTCAGTCTAACTATAGGATTTATGAAAAAGGAAAGTCTTCAGTCTAATCTTAAAAGTACGTACTAAGTAAAGTAAGTAAGTAAAGTTTTATTTATATAGCAGCTTTCATAGAAATAGATTCACAAGGTGCTGTGCAATCAGAGGCAAATCTAAAGATACACAATCAGAACAGGATATACAAACATTTGGGACAAAAAAGTATAAAAGCTGTACAACCATCAAAGTATCAAGACTGTTCAATCTGAAAAATAAAACAAGTAAATAATATCTAGACAATAATATAGAGGGCAGAGTAAAACATTAACATATTAAGATGAAGGATTTTTAAATCAGAAATGAATTTGGAGGCAGGTCTCTGAATGGGTCGATTGTGGAGTACTGGTACATTTTAGAAAAATACATTTTTGATAAATTGATCAAAAATGTAAAAAAAAGTAGACAGAGTGTCAGCATCTAAGTTTGTGTCAACAAAGTCAATCTTTAGGATGGTAAATAGTAAAAATTACCATTAAATGGTTTAAAAAGAACATTGTAAATTGCATTTCTCAGTTTTTGAAAGCGAGGACATCTCACTGTAATCTATGATGATGTTTGTGCCCCCTGCTGGGCATTTACCAAATGTACATGTTGGATTCTGCCAGCAAATATTAAAGATGGTTAAAACAATCAGGTTGTTCCTCTATAAGGATTACATTTTCTTCCTAATTATTATACTGAAGTATTCTTTCTTCTCATGATGAATAAATAATGTGAAATTAAAAACAGAATGAATACTGTATTTTGCTCTCTGAAATGTCTTCCTATGATTTGATTTCACATCTAATAATCTGTTTCAAATGTAAAACTTTCCTTTAAGTGATTGCTTTCACTTTGTACAGCTTTCAAATGAATCATCTGCAGGCTGTGCAGGGTCGATTCCTCCAGCTGCAGCTCTGACTGTCTGACCCTTTCATTGTGAGCAGAGTTTTGTCTCTGATGTGACACTGCCTGACACTGGACTGGTGTCATATTTCTGTACTGGTTCCCCCTGCAGGCTGTGGACGCAGTGGGAGAGATCCTGCTGTCCCTCAGTTATCTGCCCACAGCAGAGCGCCTCACGGTGGTCGTGGCCAAGTGCAAGAACCTGGTGTGGACCAACGACAAGAACACAGCAGGTTGGTGAGCGACACTCGGACTGTGTACTGAACTGTGGATTCATCTGTTTATGTGGGTTTTAACATGGTTTATGAAACAACTTTCAGCTGAGGAAAACTATGGGCTGCCGTTTGTAAAGTTACACAGACAAAAATTACCACCAGTATTTTTGTTTTATTTAGCCTTTTATAAGAAAAAAAGAACAGATTTATTTTTTAAAGTCAGTTTTTCACCATATGATTCATACATTTATAAATGTCATAGTTTATAAACTAAATAT